ACCTACCACATACTTGCTAATGTAATCATAAGAAAACTCGTCTACTGATTTTTTGGAATATTAAAGGGACTGTCTACCGTCCTTCATTGCCTCTCCTGTTTTGTGTCGCAATAGAAAGCGTATCATGTTAAGTGACTAACCTTGCAGAGGTTTCTCTAGAAAGCGTGTAGAAATTTTTAAAACAGAATTTTTCTGTCCGCATTATGTCTCCTTTCCTCGGTGGGATGAATGCCCACAACACTGGTCGGTGCCGGTGAAAATCAACAACTAAAACAGCGTGCGGTTTTTGCAGGCTTCATCGAGTTTGGTTATTAATAAAAACAAATGCCTCAGTGGCCGTTTTGGGCATGCACACGCTTTGTTGTTCTCATGAGCGGCAGCAGACGCCGTGGTCACATTTTTCCACAGTTTGCAGACAGGCATGCAGGATAGCGAACACACCACCACTAACGCCAACTGGTGCCTATTTGAAAGCGCGAAGAAAAAAAAAGCAAAATATGGTCTCTGGCGCAACCTAAAGCTGCCTCAAGTGCATAAAATACAATTTCAAGTTAAATGTGTTTATTTTTAAGCAAAATAAGTCTACCAGCGAGGATTTCTCGTCCTACCAATAGATTGTCAAGATTGACCACATTCACTGTTGGGTGACACTAACGAGTGGTCACTTTTTACCTACCTTCAACATCAAGTTAATATTATAATTCCTTTTTTCTGGCACGAAAGTATGCTTGTTGCCGCCGATGTGATGAACGATCTTTTCATTTGTGCCACAATGAGAAAATTTTTCTGAGCTGAAGACTTTTAAATTGCAACCTGCCGAACTTCACAAATGCCTCAACCTTTTATGAGTAACGGATTCATGGCATCTAAGAAAAAAGACCATCCTATGGGCCCCCAAGTATAGCTAAAGAGACCCTGCAACACTTTTCGAAGTAGCCATAGAAGGAATTCACTAAATAGCTTATTGCCACACAAATTGAACGCCACAAAACTATGCAGAATCTGTCCAGTACGAACGGAGTTACATATATTTGTCGCACGCTGTAATCGCATTATATCTCCCCAAAAATGCTGGAAGCTAAACAGGGTGGCATAGCACGCATGCCTCATGACAAGCTTGCGCTCTTTTTCTTTTGTCTTCAAATACACAACTTTCAGAGCGATCACATGCTTGGGCAAGTCACAGCAGTCTCAGTCATAGAATTTCTTACAAGTACACAGAGGGAACTCTGGTGCTAGTGTCATTGGGACCTGCAACGCAACGCTTCAGCCCCACAGGGGAATCATTAGTAGTACTACTGTGCCCAGAATATATTCTATTCTAGGCACTATAGTAATAGACAAATTTATCTATCTTGATACGTTCGGCTTGGTTTACCTTTTCATGGCTTGAAGCTTTGTCGCAAAACAACAACAAATGTTCAGCAGTTGGCCTTCACCACCTCACCCTTTTAGGCTGGCCAATTCAAATTGGGCCTCTAACTTCAGGACAGTCAGTTCTTTGATTTGAAACAAAACCAAAACATGGGTATAAACAAAGACACAAGTGCGTTAGAAGCCCACAAGCAAAAAGACTCGTCAAATCCCCATACTGCCCATTATTCCCATTGTTGGTGAACAAAGCAGCACCAAAGTCTCCTGTATACTTCATTTCTCAAGCTGTTAGTAGTGCATTAAAAGTTAGAGCTCTAACTACGCTGGGCTGTAGGGGCACCGCAAATAGTACTTGAAACATTTTTGCCATCCAGTTCTATTTTACAAGCAACACACAGAGAAATTGAACACAAGTTTAGAACTGACTTTTTCAAAGCATGCAGAGTGTTTTAATCATTAGAGAAACTAAAAGAGAAAGCCTGCATGGATGCAGCACTGTGAAGGCTTGTTGTGAGGTGGTGATGCACCACCTTACAGAAACATGGCATCGAAGGAGTTGGTTGTGTCAGTGCAAGGTGCCTCTCAGACTGTGCAACCAGTGAGTCATTCTTCGAGTGTGCACAGTTTTTATAAGCTGGCGGAGCAGACAGTTTTAAACATTCTTGAAGGGCTTAGCATAGAGTGCAGGAACGATGCAAGTGTGCATGGCCTTATCAGGAGGACCGCAAAACGGACCCAGGCGAGCAGGCGAACACCCTATGGCTGGTGGAGGCCGGCGAAATCGTAGCGTTCGCGTACTTGTGAGAAAGGCCGTGATCGAAAGAAAAAACTAGGCAATTTTGTCGTCAGTGTTTAGTGAAGATTGGTGCATCACTTTTTTCATAATAGTGAAATGCCAACTATCGCAAGTTGTTCAGCGTTTCAAAGAAGACAGGATGCTACCAAGTGTGCCCACGACGAAGATGCAGATGATGCTGAAAAAGCTCGACTTTTAAAGTACAAGAAATGCCCTCTCAATGCCCTTCTCATAGAAGCAATGCACAGTGCCCAGAATCCTTGCCGGTACCTGCCTCAAAGAGTGGAGCTGCGACGCCAGGCATGGTCAATTGTTTTCACAGATGAAACATGAGTCAACAGCCATTGTATGTGTAGTGAAGAGTGGATAGACGGCACTGTCCAGTCTAAGCACGAAGCCGACTGGTCTTCGAAGCCCCAGTGGCAAAGTCCCAGAAGCTGCTTCCGCTACTACGACCTGGCAGTGTAATAGTCATGATGTAGATAGATGGCACTGTCCAGTCTACGCACGAAGCCCGTCGATCTGATTTGTCGACTGGTCTTCGAAATCTCAGTGGCCAAGCCCAGAAGCTGCTCCCACTACTACCACCGGGCAATGCTATAGTCATGGATAATGCGCCATATCAATCTGTGACGAAAAAAGTGCCGTCCAAGGGTCAACTCAAAAAGGACATAAAAGCCTGGCTTTACGGAAAAGGTGTTGCATGGAGCAGCAATATCGTGAAGGCGGACTTCATGAACCTTGTCAATAAGGTACACACTAGCGGAGACCGATACCGTGCGGTCACCTCATTGTGCGCCTACCTCTGTACCACTGCCAGCTGAACCCCATATATCTTGTTAGGAGATGTATAAGAGGATTCATAGCAGCAGCAAATATAACATTCAAGCTTCAAGACATTGATACTCTGCCCTGGCAAAGAATCAAGAATGTAACCACTGAAAAGGGAAAATAAACCATCAGATTGACTAATTCAACCATTCGTTCATTAACTGACTCTATGACTGGAATAAATATTCTTACACATTGTATAAACAAAAATACACAAACTCGACAAGAACTCACACGAACTGGTGAGGATTATAATAAATCGAAAAAGATTGTACGAGTTCCATTAAAACGTTGGTTGTCGCATTCGGAAATAGGCAAAACAGATCAAAATGTACCAACAGCCGTGTGCTACCAAAATGAAAAGACAATTCATATAGTACACCTACCTGCGCACAAATTGGTCCGCCCCCCGTCAAATTCCTTCAATCCCTTTATTTTTCAGAATAAGGAGGAGGAGGAGGAATAAATGAGGAAGGGCCGGGAGGTAAGTCCTTCCTCAGTTAACTGCAACAATCTTTCACCTTTTTTTTTTTTTTTCATAACTACATATTACATTCTTTACGAAGATATTACGTTCTGGATGGTGCCCTGGGCTAAAAGCTATAATTAAACAGCTTGACTAAGGCCCAGGATACCAATTACATGAAAAACAACCGAGACAGCTGAAAGATTTTTCACTCATATTTAGCAAAGAAATTTTTTTTAAATGGACGCGAAATACCTGTAGGAACGATCGCACTTATGAAGGCCACTCAGTCATAATTGGCTCAGAGCACTGATACATTTCACAATGCTGCCAACAGCTTGTGAAGGAGTACAGCTAATTTGGGAAACTATATGGCACCAGTAACGACCGAGCTGAAATTAAGCAATGGCTGATACTTGGCCCATGACGCGGTGATTTTTGAGCCTGTGGCGTCATCTATCAAGAGCGATTTTTTGGGTGACTGAGAATTTATTGCAAATTTCAGGCTGCGTGCTGCGCTATAATATTTAGTACCTGTGTTCTCAGGAGCTCCGACTACCGATCGGCAGCGTTCAACACTAGGATCGCAAACTCTAGTAACGAAGGACACCCCAGGTCCGGGACGTTCGCCACGGTCGACGACACTCCCTTATTAACGTCAATTCACCGCTCAACGTCAGTCGCCAAACAAAACAACGAACGCCAGCAGCACGAAAAACGGGTGTTCGAAGTTTCAAGCTACGAATGCTGGGGGGCCCACAGGTGGTGGTAATAGCTACGCTGTTGGTAACAGTTACGCTGTTACCACCACCACCAGTTATATCGAAAAGGTTGGTGGCGGTCGTAACAGCTACGCTATGCTGTTACCACCACAAACCTCTTCGACATAACTGTCAGTAGTTACGCGATAAACGTACTCTCGTTGGATGATAAGCGCGCAACTAACGGATGTCACACACATCGGTTATGCCCCATCGAGCCATCGCGGCAACAGTAGTCGCGAAAGCAGCCGATGTGCGAGTGCATTTTCGACTAAAAGATTTGCCAACTTGACCTTATCTCCCCAAACCAAACCTGACATCATACTGTATCTAGAAATCGCGAATCTTGCTACACGCATTTCTCGCGAACACGGTAACGTTGCGTTTCGATCTTCACATCGGGTGGCACTAGTTTCGAGAGATGATCGACCTGCGGAGCATAACCACCACGCAACAATACCGTTAGTTCATAGCGGAACACCTGATTGACACAGAGCGACGTTCTGGTGCGCACTTGTCTGGTGCTCTTTCACTGTACAGCGACCGTCTAGTGCACCATCGTCTTTACGGGCCGTGTTTCCACAGCTAAGCGTGTACCGGCTCGCCCAAATTGAAAGTGTCGCTGGTATGCGCCCTGCGCGCAACTGGTAACTTGTGAATGAGTATATCAGCCCAAGTGGTCTGGAGGTCGCGGAACGAGAACAACGTTGAAAAAAGAAACCACAGAAAAAAGAAAGACGTGGAAGTTCCCTTGCTCTCAAAGAATACATGCCTGGGTATGCAATTGGGCGTCGTCTTGTCCACCTCCCAGGCGGCGAACAGCTTCATAGGCACGGGGCGTGCGCTCGGCGGGCGCGCCGTCGGCTTGCCGCTGTCTCCCATGCTGCGCGGTGGAGTAAAACTCGGTCGCGGCTCAGCCCGTGCGTAAGCCTAAAGCCTCGGCGATCTCAGCGGTCTCCAGTCGGCTTGCCGCTGGTTGTGCCGAATGCCGCACTCGCTGCATTCATGAGAGTTGGCTCACTCACACCGCACGACGACACCACGATAAACACCAACAACACACATGATCACACGACCGAAGCGGTGACCATGACACAAACCAGCGCGCACACCGACTAGAGGTGGGGGCGTTGCACGCCGGCCGTGTGGACGGATGACTGGACTTGTTCTGGATAGAGTTCTTCGATGCGCGCCACTCACCACCGCGTTGGAGGGTGGAGACACCCGCGTCGTCTGCTACACAGTCTGCCATTACGATGCCAGCATGCCTATCACGCACCCAGGCGTTTTTGGCGGTATTCTTTCGCTCCAGAGACGCCAAAATTTGTTTGGAACTGCCAAGGCACGCCTCGCCAGCATGAAATGAAGTGACTCTGGGAGTTTTAAAATGCAAAAAAGCGCTTGTTCACGATGCGCTTGTTTATAAAATGTCATCTGGGTACCACTGCGCTGTCATCTGATGCGACAACAACCAGCGCAAGAGAAAGAGATTGCTGAGCACTACCTGCGAAGTTCACAGCGCATCGCGTGAATCATGCCGGTGCGGTGTTTTGCGATTGCACAGATATCCGTCCACAACGAAAAAATGGCAGTGACTTAGCTCAGCTTTACCAGGATATACGTAGCGTTAGCAAAGGTTCAGCAGCTGATTACTCTTAGCTTTCCAGAAGGTCTAGGATTAGCTTTATTATCATGCTTACTGCTGCTGCAATGACACACACACGGCATACGTATTATGTGGCACATGTATATTTTCTGCTCAACGTCCAGGTAGCTTCTCTGTTGTCACAAAGACGGTTCGGGGGTCAGTGAAGTAACACGCTGCCGTCTCTGTGGCCCCAACACGGTATTTGGAATTGTCTGTATTTCTGTGATAGCATAGCAGTATGTATAGCATGCAGTATTGCCAGACCAATATGTCTGTCAAGGTCATGACGTCACTCCTCTGGAAAGCTTTCCTGATTGTCTAGAATTAGCTTGATTATCATGCTTACAGCTGTTCCAATGACACACACACGGTATACGTATTATGTGGCACATGTATATTTATTTTGCTGGGCAACTACTTCGGGATCGAATGAGTTAAGCTGCTCCGCTCTACTGCACCATTGAGCAGCATTTTCACTCTCCTTCTCCATGGCTATACCACAGTAGTGGCAAACGCCAGTCAGGGGCGCTATCAAGCGGCTCCAGTGCAGTGTCAGATGGCGACTGCACAGGGAAGGCGTGCGCGCCGGCGTCCATATCTCTACCAAGGCTATGACGGCACTCCTATGGAAAGCGCACACCGGCGGTGGCGAGTCGCGCGCGGCCGAGTGCGAGGGAGGTGCCGGCTCCTGTGCGTGAAACCACTGATCGTCTGCTCAGCGCATCGAATTGCGCGCACACCGGCGGCGAGCCGCGTGCGGCGGCGGCGGAGTATCATTGCGCATGCGCAGACCAGTGCCGCGCGAAATTGGCTCAACGAGGCCAGAGTAGCTAACGCCACAAAACTCTGAGCTCCGCCGCCTTAGGATATACTAATCACAATCAGCAGGAAAAAACTACGATCCCAGAGCAGTGTACGAGTACGTATACTTATTGCGTTTATTCAAGCGCGGCTCCAGCTGTTGCACTTTACAGCAACGATTTGCGTACAGTATGCCTGTAGTATGCGGCACAAAACTATTGCTCTACTCTTTCGCAGGCCGCATGTCAATAATAGGCTATATGTATTACGACTTACGCGTGGATGCACGCACCACGAATTTTTAGTACAACTGTAACGGCCTACTATCGCAATGCAAAGAGACGTGAACGGCGCGGAAAGCATGCCTTTCGACTTGGTCGAATTGTGACATGCCTCTGTCACTAGGCGAATCTACATGTGCTTTCGGCCAGCGTCACGGTAGCATTTTAAAATCTTGTTCTGACTGGCACTTTTACACCGCGTGTGTTTACCGAGAGCCCGGCAGGACTGGCGATTGATACACATGCGCTGCATGAGCCTAAGTTGGAGCCAGATTCTGGCGCTACGTTGACGCCGCCTTTTAAGCACAAATTCTGTCTTGTCACAGCCAAGGCACGTCGCAGTTAACACTTTCTGCTGTTCACGTTTCTTTCAGTCGGATAATGAAGTTGCTTCCGCAGTCTCCAATGCACGTGCCGCAGACATTCCGGACTGCCGAGGAAGGTCTCCTCGACGTTTTACATGAGATCAGCACAAAGTTCCAGTAGTGAAACAGCGCGAAACATGCTTACAGCCAGACTCGGCTTGTGTTTTGCGCTTGATTTGCACAGCCTCTACTCACGTGGCAGTTGCAGGGTGCTAGCTTCGCCGCGCTTGCAACAGATAGCACCACACGCTTTTCAATATGGCAGCGAGCACTGCAGCAGCTCACTGTGATCTGGTGTACAGTCACGATGGCCAGCCAACGAGTGTTGCGCGGCTGCATACAGAGCTTGTTGCGTCAAAACGTGCGGTACTCAAACAACATGAGAGAGATTGAGATGTAGACTTTATTAATTTCCGGCAAATTGTTTGGATGGGCCCCCACCTATGGGCCAACGAAGAGACCATGTCTCCCTGCAGCTTCCTTGGCCTGCTGGATCGCCCAAAGTTGCTTGTCCAGGCCCGAACTGAGCAGCGCAGTCCACCAACGCGCCCGAAAGTCTTCATTGGAGACCGCGACCCCAAAATTCCTGACTAATGCTGGACATTCTCATAGGATATGGTCAGAAATACAAAGTTTTCGCATCGGGAGTGTGAAGGTCAGAGATTTCTAGTCCATAGTCTTCAATTTTGAAACGACATTAGCAGCTGGAGTTGCTCGCAGCAGAGAAATACCGTCGACGCCAGCTGCGTTATCTTCAATTAGCATCTTTTTGGACTAGTCGGTAACTATTTATATTGGTTGAAGATGTGAAACACACGCACCTAATTCACATGACCTCTCAATGTGTCTGTGTTTTGTGCCTTCCACAAAACTGTAAAAACAGTTTGCCATTTGCCAGCTGGCTGGAAAAAAAAGAATACAAAATAGGTGCTGTCGTGAGAAAAGAGAAATATCACAGCACATTTGCGGAGTAAATGATAATATAAGGGGCGAAGCGTCCATCCGTGCTTCGGTCCATGCGTACGTACGTGCGTCCGTTCATCTGTACGTCTAGCATATTCACAGACAGACGTACACTTCGCCCCATTAAGCATACCACGGACGGAAGAATGCTTAGTGGGGCGAAGTGTACGTCCGTTCTTTCTTGCTTCCGTCCGTCCGTGCATCTATTTGTCCATCCGTCTGTCTGTCACTCACACTAGCGACACATTCTGAGTGAGTCATACAACTAGGTGGTTACGAACCGGACACAGACATGCATGGACAAACCCACGGTTTTAGGAGCGTTGCCCCTAACACTGTGATCGCGTACCATTATTTCATAATGGTACGCGATTTATTAGCTACCTCATTTAAAGACCACACCCTCGAACACATAGTATATTGCACTTTGTTTTCATTTCTTTACCTTACTGCAAAAACCGCAGATTGGCGAAAAACAATTGGTGAAAACATGTAGCGTTTAGTAATCTATATGTGGCTTCTATGGCATTAAATCATAGCTCGCACGCCGACATTAACTGTCAAACCAGGTTTCGCGTGTTTTTATAGACATATTTTCGTCATCCATTGACGTCACGTAACACCTAATTTGGTATATGTGGAGCTGGCGAAATGGCCTCGAGTGCATCATGAAGGGCCCAATCTACTCCAACGCAACGTTGACGCGCACGCACGCTGGGCACAGCGACGGTACGTTAGCAAAACGCGAGCACTCTATAGTCTGACGCCAAGCGCGATCGGGGCGACCAGCGTCCGTCATCGCGGCCCGACGGCAACCGGCGCGAAATTCGACATGCTGCGTTTGGCGCCAATGCGTTACCCAGACAGCACTGCGTCTGTCTCTTTTCGAGACGGAGGGACGCCGGACGTGCTGAAACGCGCATGCATCAAAACAACGCAGCGCGCGCCTGCGAGTATATGGCAGGACCAGTGCATGGCGTGGCAACGCAGGCGTCACGCGACCAAATGAACGCCGGCGCGCACTAGCCGGGTCACGTCCAAGTTTATTGGCGCCATGACTGGGACATGTAGTCAGGTTCTCACATGACACTCAAGTCATGATTATCATGTTTGCACCACTCACATACCTTCTCTATCCATTGACGTCACAAAATACCAATTTGGCATATGTGAAGCTAGCGAAACGGCCGCGAGCACATCATCAGTGTGACATGTAGTACTGTTGTTGCATGACAGGCATCTCATGTTTATCATGTTTGCACCAGTCTCATATCTTCGTCATCCATTCACGTCCCGTAATACCAAATTTCGTATGAGTGAAGCTAACGAAGCGGCCGCCATCACATCATGAGCAGGGCAAGTAGTCATGTTGTTACATGACACAAATCTCATGATTATCATGTTTGCACCAGTCAGATACCTTCGTCATCTATTCACGTACCGTAAAACCCAATTCGGTATATGTGACGCAAGCGAAATGGCGGAGAGCTGATAATGAGCGTGGCATGTAGTCATGTTGTTACATGACACGCATGACATGATTTTCATGTTAGGGTCTGTTGCTTGTGTTTGCCGTTCAATCATGTCATACCATACCAGTTTTTCAACAAGTCATGTGAACGGAACCACCACAAGAGCTGCAGGACCATGAAATGTAAATCATGACATTCAAGACATAAATGTCATGATTTTCATGTTATGACTAAACTAATATGCTCTTCATACAGTCATGTTATGCCATACTAAGTTTGGTATCAAAATGATTATCCAAACAGCCAGGAGAGCTAAAAGTAGTAGGCGGCTAGAGATAGATAGATAGATAGATAGATAGATAGATAGATAGATAGATAGATAGATAGATAGATAGATAGATAGATAGATAGATAGATAGATAGATAGATAGATAGATAGATGGATAGATAGATGGATGGATAGATAGATAGATAGATAGATAGATAGATAGATAGATAGATAGATAGATAGATAGATAGATAGATAGATAGATAGATAGATAGATAGATAGATAGATAGATAGATAGATAGATAGATAGATAGATAGATAGATAGATAGATAGATACGCTCAAA